AATTAGAAGTGATCAAGGTCAAGAATTTAACATGAGGGATTTCTATTCTGAAAAAAGGAATTATCCATGAAATGTCATGTGTTGAAAGACCTGAGCAGAATTCAAAAGTTGAAAGAAAGCATCAACATATATTAGCAGTAGCTAGAGCTCTTAAGTTCCAAGCACATCTACCTATTGAATTCTGGTCTGATTGTGTGAAACATGCTGTCTTTCTAATCAACAGAACTCCTTCCACAGTTCTAGACAATCTGTCTCCATTTGAGCTTTTTCACAACAAACCCCCTGACTTGAGTTTTCTTAAGGTGTTTGGGTGTCTTTGTTTTGCTTCTACATTGCCAAGCACCAGAACCAAGTTCACTTCTAGAGCACAAAAATGCATTTTTCTGGGATACACTCCTGGTATTAAAGGTTTTCGTCTCTATGACCTTGACAGTCATGATGTCTTTCACTCTAGAGATGTCATATTCCATGAGGCAGTTTTTCCTTTCCAAGTGCCTACCATTTCCTCATCCGGTGACACTCCTTCTACCTGCCTCCCAACTGTGACTAGTGGAGCTCATGATGATGATGATTATGTGCCTCCTTTGATTCCTGATAACCCACCTGAGGATTCTGGTAGTGATGATGATGGTGCTGGTCCCCCAGATACACCACCACCCATCTATTTCCCACCACCAGTTCCTAATTCCCCGGTTCCACCTCATGTTTCTCCTACTAGAACCCTTCCACCTCGTGTCATCAAAGCTCCCACCCACCTTGACAATTATGAATATGATCATTTGGTGACTCGCAGGTCTCAGTTGTTTGCATCCAAGACAAGTCCAGTCACAAGCAGCTCCAGGTATCCCATCCACAATTCTATGGCCTATACCAAGGTCACTTCTACACATAAACATTTTGTTCTTGCTATCTCAGCTCAGACAGAACCAGAGACATATGAACAGGCTGCCCAACATGAAGTTTGGAACTCTGCTATGCATCAGGAGTTTCATGCTCTTGAACAAAACAAAACATGGACTGTTGTTTCTCTGCCTGCAGGAAAGAAAAAGATTGGTTGCAAATGGGTTTACAAGATCAAATACATGTCTGATGGTGAGATTGAACGATACAAGGCTAGACTTGTTGCTAAGGGCTACACACAACGAGAAGGGATTGATTTTTTGGATACTTTTGCTCCTGTGGTAAAGATGACAACAGTAAGGACCTTCTTGGCAGTTGCAGCTGCTAGAAACTGGCATCTCCACCAATTAGACATAAACAATGCTTTTCTCCACGGGGATCTTAATGAAGAGGTGTATATGGCTTTGCCTCCTGGTATAACTCCACCATCTGACATTCCCAACCCAGTATGCAAGCTTCATAAGTCCCCGTATGGCTTCAAGCAGGCCTCCAGGCAGTGGTTCTCAAAATTATCTGACTGTTTGATTCAGAAAGGGTATTCACAGAGTCAAGCTGACCATTCCTTGTTCACCAAGGCTACTGAAACCTCCTACACTGCCATCCTAGTTTATGTTGATGATTTAATTGTGGGGGGGAATGATTTACAGGAGATCACCAGCATTAAAGCTCATCTTCATCAGGCTTTTAGCATTAAGGATCTTGGTGTCCTTAAATACTTCCTTGGTCTTGAAGTGGCCAGGTCACCAAAAGGTATTCACCTCTCTCAACGCAAATATGCTCTTGAATTACTTGATGCAGCAGGCCATTTAGGTGTTAAACCAGTAACCACTCCCATGGATTACAAGTTGCACTTGAGCATGAATGATGGAAGTGATCCAGTTGATCCTACTGCTTATAGAAGCTTAGTTGGCAAGCTTATCTACCTCACCACAACGAGGCCAATTATAAGCTTTGCCACGCAACAGGTCAGTCAGTACATGAGTTCACCATCTGTGATTCACAAGAAAGCAGTCACCAGAATTTTGAGATACATCAAGAAGGATCCTGGTCATGGACTTTTCTTTCCTGCCACATTTCCTCTTACCTCTGAAAGCATTCAGTGACTCGGATTGGGGTGCGTGTCCTGATACACGCAGATCAGTTACAGGGTACTGTGTTTTTCTTGGAGGTTCTCTAGTTTCCTGGAAGTCTAAGAAACAAACCACAGTATCACGTTCCTCATGTGAAGTAGAATACCGAGCTTTAGCTTACACCACTTGTGAAATTCAGTGGTTGTTGTTTCTTCTTAACGACTTCAAGGTTCCTCATCCATCTCCAGTTAGTGTTTATTGTGATAATCAGTTTGCGATCTATATTACTGAAAATCCTACCTTTCATGAAAGGACTAAACATAGCGAACTTGATTGTCATCTGGTTCGTGACAAGCTTCTTGCTGGTGTGATCAAGGTTCTCCATGTTGCTTCAGATCATCAGTTAGCTGATGTCTTCACTAAGCCTCTGTCTCCTGCACCGTTTAATTCTCTCATCTCCAAGCTTGGGCTACTGAACCTGTACCCTCCAGCTTGTGGGGGGGTAACAGAAGAAACCAACAGGTTTTTTTCTTCTTCAAGTATCGAACCCGGTTCAGGAGAAGGAAGCTCTCGCAGCAAGTGAAGCGGCGTCGTTCCATCCGTCTCTGACGAAGATCCAGGTGTCACGTGTCACGCGCGTACTGGAAGATCAAGGACCAATCAGATGCAAGCTTTTCCAACGGTCTGGACAGCGATCGTTTTTACTATTCATCTTCTCAGTATTTGTTTTTCACCAGCAGAGCTGGATGTTTTTGGCTTGTAGTTCGAACTATATATTTGCAATGAGAAGAAGGAAAGGGTAGGTTGGGAACCCTAATTTTCCACAACCAAAACGTTGTTAGATTCGGTGATCAATGAATGAGAATTGTGGTTCTATCATTCACAGGTAAGTTTCCTGGATCGTGATTACTGTGATGATATCCCAGGTCCAGAGTCTCTATCATTTTCCCTTTCTGTCCGAGCTTTCACTTTGGTCCGTGAACCTGTTAATTTTCATTTCCTTGCACTTTTCTTCCTCGTCCTTCTTTCATTGCTCTACATTCCGATGCATTTGGATATAGAAACTAGAAAATGTTTACTTTACTTATTATTTATCGTGGTCAAATATGTTTTCATTTACCTTTGTTTCATTTTACTGGAAGCACAGTCTTCTGAAGCCAACTCATCAAAAACTTTTTTCTGGAAGGGAAAGTTCAAACGAAGTCATGAGCACAAGAACTTATCTGCATTATGAGAATGTTGCTAGATTAGGATTGTAGGACCAAAGAGCACCACCTGCTTTTATATAATTGACCTTTTTACCAAATTTTCACTTTACTACTCTTTTTCCTCGTGCACAGAAGGAATGATTTGGATTGTCTGCTCATGCATTTTTCTGTGGGACCGCAAAGTGTAGCGATTGGCTATTTGGCATCATGGTTTTAGAATTTTTTTCCTTCAATTTCAGTACTTTAATGGGAAAAGGGAAATAGGCACACGCATATAATCACTTTAGGGCTGGGAAATTGGGTTCTTTTTTTTTCGGTTTAAGCCGAAACCGAACCAATACGAATCTTACTGGTTTTTGGGTTTTTGGTTCCAGTTTTGAATTTAACCGTTTCGATTTAAGCTGGAAAACTGATTAGAAACCGAACATGAACCTTGCTCTAATCGAACTATTTCAAAGGGTGCATGGGTTTTCCCCTTAATGTGTTCAATTTCGGTTTTGGGGAAACATGCTATACTGATTTTTTTGGGTTTAATGATTTAAGGTCGGTTAACGTAACCGACACCCCTGCTCTATGCTGGTTCTTGGATATGGTTTTTCTTTTCTTCATCCACAGCCCTCTTTGTATTCCGTGGGCTTAGTTTCTTTTCATATCTCCCTCTGGCTTACTTTCCTGAAATCCAGGTTTGGTTTGCTTTTTAGGCATATCTAGGAATTCTCAATAGAAAATATTGGAGATAAAATATTGGGAGCGCATACTTAATTATCTCTTGCTGAATCAAATGAAACACCAAAAATAAAAAAAAAGCATTGCGAAAGTAAAGCACGTAAAGCCTGAATGAGTTGAATTTCTCAATTATGTTTCAATTAATTAGCTCAGCACACTCTAGAAATCTATCGTATTTGCCTTCATTTTTTTTATTGGAGCCTTCATAATATTACGGTTGTTCAACAGATTTCAGTGCACATATTTTATCAGAACACACTGTCTGCTAATACTCTGCTCTCAAACAAGACGAAAGAGATTGAACTGTTTACGGACGAATTTCATTTTGCATGCATATGATAACTCGTTACTCATTTGCTGGAATCCTATGGTATATCTCCTTGGCTCATATCGCCCACAACAAAAGATTCTCCGGCAGGCACTATTTTCTTTAGAATTGTTTATCAATGTCTTCATTCTGTTTGTTTTTTTAACTGTATACATGAATAGACTAATGCATCCATAGAATTTTCGGCTTGCCCTTCTATCTTCAATACAATAATAATGTATCTAAATTCCATTTGATAATTTCTAGGGGAGAAAGTACATAAAAAGTTCTGATCATGGCCTGTAAATGGTCAGTTTTTTTTTAACAGTTAATGATGTCATGTGGTCAAGCAAGTGAAAGCCCACCCTCATATTCACGTGCCCTGGCGAATGGTGAGTGAGTAGTAACGGAATTCGTTTGATAAAGAAAGAAAGAAAGAAAGAAAATCAGGAAAAAAGGAGATAAGGAAAGAATATGATAAAACATAGAGTTAGAGATGGAAGAGGAAACCAACATGCAAATCATTATGAGAGGATTCCTTTTTTCCTCTTTCTCTCGCTGCTTGCTCTACTTTTTCGGCTTGTTTCCCATAATTTCCAGAAGATCTGCTCTTCCCATTTCACATGGTTTATCTCATTTTCTGTTTCTGAAACTTATCTCGCTAGCTTCAACAGTTTCACTGTATAAATATGTGTACAGGGAGGTGAATGAACCCCACATTTATTGTTCATTGGTTGGTGGGTTTCTTAAGGACTGTGGCGAGGATCAAGTTGAGAAAGACAGAAAAAAATGGGTAGGTCTTGGTTTGTTGGCGGGGCTTTGAATCATTTCATTGTCGCTGCTGCTGTGCTTTTGGTGGTGGTTTTGAGCAATGTGGAAGCCTACCCAGCCGAGGATCTGGTTGTGAACTTGCCCGGCCAGCCAAAAGTTGGGTTCAGGCAGTTTGCTGGTTATATTGACATCGACGTCAAGACTGGGAAGAGCCTGTTTTATTACTTTGTTGAAGCCCAGTCCACTCCTCTGAGCAAGCCACTCAGTCTCTGGCTCAATGGAGGTTGGTTCTAGTTTCCCCTTCTTCCTTACAGAATTTTCTCCCTTTCTTTTCGTTTGTTTTTGTCTCCTTGAAGTCTGTTTTCAGTGTGTTGTTTTGTTTTTGTGCATCTTTTCCCCCAAAGATCCGCTATTTCTCAATATTAGAGATCTGAGATTGAAGATATCTTTGGCCTAATGATCTTTCAGGACCGGGATGCTCCTCCATGGGTGGAGGTGCGTTCACAGAATTGGGACCCTTCTATCCAAGGGGTGATGGCAGAAGCCTAAGAATAAACAGAATGTCATGGAACAGAGGTAAAGAAAAACTAAAAACAAAGGTTACCCACTTCTGAAAGTTAATTTCTTTACAAAAACAATGTAATCTTACTGAAGACCAAGTTTGGAGTTTCTTTTGGGCAGCATCAAATCTCCTCTTCGTTGAATCCCCTGCTGGAGTGGGATGGTCTTACTCGAACACCAGTTCTGATTATAAGATAGGAGATGCCGCCACTGGTATATCATCCCTAACTAAATTTTTACCTCAGGATGTAGTTTTCCTAATTTAACAGCTTTAAAACTTGCTTTCTTTGCAGCCATGGATATGCGCGTATTCTTGATCAAATGGTTGGCTAAGTTCCCGGAGTACAAGTCCTTACCATTTTTTCTCACAGGAGAAAGCTACGCAGGTCTAGTTTCTACCGTATTCTCTGTCCAATGTATCCAATGCTGCTTTTTCCAGTCAATTTTCCTGAGTTTTCTTTACCTAATTGTCACATCAGGACATTATATCCCTCAATTGGCTGACCTCCTTCTTGAACACAATGCTCACTCCAACGGCTTCAAGTTCATCTTTGGTTTCTTTACTCCGGAAACTAATTGTTTTCAATTGCCAAATGACTAGATTGGGAACCCACTCCTGGACCAGGACGCGGGGTCTCCGTACGAGTACTTTTGGTCTCATGGCATGATGTCCGACGAGCTTCACCAGAAGATCACCAACGAATGCGACTTCGATGACTACACTTTCGAGAATCCCCACAACGAATCCGAAAGCTGCAACGATGCCTTGTCCACGGCTATGAACGTGGTCGGAAACTACATGAACAACTACTATGTTCTCCTCGACGTCTGCTATCCGTCCATATTCGAGCAAGAACTGAGGCTCAAGAAGCTGGTATATGAACTACTCGATGGTATATTTGCATAATCATATGGCACGACCTTTTTCACTAATTCCGAAATTTTGGGTCGGTCGATTGACTGCAGGCGACCAAGATTAGCCTTGGAATTGATGTGTGCATGTCCAGCGAAAGGAAGATGTACTTCAACCTTCCTGAAGTGCAGAAGGCTCTTCATGCTAACAGAACCAGCCTTCCTTACCCGTGGACCATGTGCAGCTCGTAAGTCCTTCATTTTAAATCTCATTAAAGAAGCAACTTGCAGTTGCAGGGTGTGCTTATTTAGTCACGGTTTCTTCTTTTTTCCCCGCCTGAGTTGACAGGATATTGTAGTACCAGGAGAGTGATGGTAACATCGACATTCTCCCGGTACTCAAAAAGATCATTCAGAATGGTATCCCAGTCTGGATTTTCAGGTAAAGAACCTGCAACCTGCAAACCTTGTTCTATCTTCTTTGGAAACCAACGAATTATCGCTATGCTGAATGAAAAATGGTGTTGGGCAGTGGGGATCAAGATTCTGTTGTCCCATTGATGGGCTCCCGGACCCTGGTGCGACAGCTGGCCGATGATCTCAAGTTCAAGGTCACAGTTCCATATTCTACTTGGTTCCACAAAAACCAGGTACGGAAAATATAGGCTGAAAAAAAAACCCATTCAGTTTGTTAATCAAAATCTAATTAGAGGTTTGTGTTTGTATTTTGACTATTTTGTGGTGATCGGGGGAACAGGTTGCTGGTTGGGTGACAGAATATGGGAATCTGTTGACATTTGCAACGGTGAGGGGAGCAGCCCATATGGTTCCATATGCACAGCCATCAAGAGCTCTGCATCTCTTCAGCGCATTCCTGCGCGGGAAAAGACTCCCCGATCATCCCAAAATTTCCGACTAAGCAAGCCCAGGCCCAGAAATTGGAGAGCTGAAGAAGGGCCCATATAAACTACAAGGCCCAAATTCGTTCCCGCTCCCGAAAAGAATAGAAGAAAAAGCAGGAATAATAAATGGATCAATGTAGTTAGGTTTTCTGTCTAGATTTTATTAAAACAAAAAGAAAAAGAAATTTCAATATTGATAGGGAAGATAGGAAGGTATTAGAGAGAGCTAATGTCGAGTTGTTTGTTTATGATTGATCTATGATGAAGTAATTGGAAATGGAGAAGAAAATCAAGATCCCCTACAATGTTGTTCATTCTTTGATTATGATGAAAATATGTTAATTGGGTATATGCTTGGTACCCATTCATATCAGACGACACTCGATATATAGCTCAAGTAATTTGGTTGGTAGGTTAATCACTGAAATGTTCTCGCATTTAATTTTATTCTAATAAATAAAAATGTGGTAGACATTATGAAATTTCATATTTTGCATCGGATTGCTCAAAAGTCAAATGAAATTTTTAGCAAGATAAGACTGTGAGTCAATTGTTGGAAATTGTAATCCCTAACTAAGAGATAACAACGATTTGGTGTGTGAATGATTAGGGTTTCAACATACCCCTTTCCTCTTCTAATTCATCAATATATAGTCTCAATACAATTCACAGATTCAGTTGTGCTGGTAAAAGCTTGACAGTAAAACAGAGGAAGATAAATAGTAAAAGAAATCACTCTCTAGACCGTTAGAGAAGCTCGATGGTGATTGGTTGTGGATTGATCAATTGCTTAGTAGCACGTGTCTCTTGGATGATTCTGAGCGATGAATAAAACGGTGTCGTTCTCCTCTTCTCCTGAACCAGGTTTGAGTTTGATTGATGTATAAGAAAGATCTAAGGATGGTTCTCCCCCCCCCCCCCCCCCCCCCCGCGCGGCAATTTGCAGTGTATAGATTGAGTACCCCATGCTTGGACAAGAGGGAAGCAAATGGTGCAAGTGATAGAGGCTTAGTAAGGATATCAACCAGTTGATGATACAAGGGAACGTGTAAAAGTTTGATCACACCAGTAAGAAGCTTGTCTTGAACAAGGTGGCAATCCAACTCTATGTGTTAGGTCCGTTCATGGAAAATGAGTTTTTCTGCAGTATAAAATGCAGATTGGTTGTCACAGTAAAGAGTCACAGGTTTTGGATGAGGAACTTGAAGAAGGAAAAGAATCCACTGGATTTCACAGGTTGTGTAGGTCAATGCACGGTATTCAGCCTCACAAGATGAGCGAAAAATAGTAGTCTGTTCGGATGGGATGGGTTGCTAACCCCCTACTCTGTTAGCACCCTGCTAACCCGCTGGTACGACTGGGTTTTGTATTTTCGGCTGATTAAGGGTGTTATGCACGATATTGAGCCTCACAAGATGAGCGAGAAATAGTAGTTTGTTCGGATGGGATGGGTTGCTAACCCCCTACTCCGTTAGCACCCTACTAACCTGTTGGTACGGTTGCATTTTGTACTTTCGTCAATTGGATAAATTTGCTGATCTCAGGCCATGAAATCAGCCGGATGAGGATGCGGTTTATGTGATGGGATCACAACAGTCAGAAGTTTTTTTTTTTTTTGTCTTCCCTCTTTTCTCTGTAGCCGTTGGAGTTCTTCCCCTAACGAAGACGCAGATTTGTTGCAGTCCTTCCTGTCATTGAAGGCTCCGTCGCCAGCTGCCTTCGTCAGGGCTGTCTCGCCTACACTACCCTCTGCTCCTCACACCTCGTTGCCGCCCTCCACGCCTCCCACCTCGTCGTTGCCCTCCAATCCTCCCACCTTGTCTCTCTCCCCCCCCCCCCTCCGCTCCTCCGAACTCGTCAATCGTCTTTCCATTCACTCATCTACGCAATTGCATGCTCCTGCCCCGACTCTGATTTTTTCCGATCAATATCTATCTTTTAGGGAGGTTGCGTGTAGGTTTTTGGATCCTAGCTCTGTTTTGGTTTCTGATCGGAGTGGGATGCAGTTCTTTTTTTTTTCAACCATGTTCAGTTTGCATATGAGAAGGTGAAGAGTCCAAAAGATTCAGTTGGTAGTGTTATCGCGTTAGTCTGGTAGTGATTCGTGTTAGTATAGATCTGACCACGAAGTGCTTTTATGCTGGTAGTGTTTCGTTTATGATTAGTAGTGTTTTTTAGGCTAATAGTGATTCGTTTAATTTGATTGGTGGACAGTAATGTATAGATTCCCTCAATCAGTTGCTGAATGTGAGCAACCTGTGGATCCCTTAAATGCTTATGTCTTCTTCTAGCTTCTATTGTGAGACTTCGTATTACTAGCATGTATGCAAATCTCATATTTTTTCACTGCATTGGTTTTCAATGTAGTTCGAGATCGTTTCTTCTACTGCATCTTCACTTGCATCCGTCGTTGAGTACTAGATGTGTTTTTAGTTCATTTTAGATTTGTTTGTATTCTGATTAGTAGTGTTTTGTGTTGGTTTGGTATTATTTCATTAATAGTTGTAGTTTGTCTGCATTAATAGTGTCTTGTATTCTAATTAGTAATGCTTTAGTAGTTTTTTTGCGTTGTAGTGTTATTTTGTACTGATGCAAATCATGTGTCGATTTTTCTCCCCCCCCCCCCCCCACCCTCGCTGTTGCTATCCTCGGGTTGGAGGAAAATGGAGACACTGTTCAAAAAATTGTAACTCTTAACCGCAGATCTTCGTTGCTAGGATGGGTTCAAATTGGACTTAAGGGAGGAGGAATTAAATACTCCGCAGAAGTGGGTCCCAAGGAACCTGCATAAGCTAAGAGGTGGTAGCAGTAAACTGGGTCGCCCTTTGGAGCCTCCATTTGACAGATGTTTTCTCTTTTCTAATTTTGAGTGTCCCAAATCCTTACAAATCCGCCCCACCAAAACAAACAGATTTAATTTAAAAATGAAAATTAATAATTAATGTTGATTATCCCTAATTTATCCTTAGTGTTATCACAACCATTAGATTATAACTAGATTTGGACAGTGTAGATTGAGGTTAGGACGTTGCTAACCCCATAGGGGGTTAGCACCCAATCTTCTCCCTAGTCTGTTTCTTGGATTTCCAGGAAATAAAGGAATTGCCGAAGAAGACACAATAACTTGTGATGGAGTGTCTGGTGTCTGGGCAGGCAGCCCAATCAGAGTCACTGAAAGCCTTGAGCTAGAAAGGAGAAGTAGATGGAAAGAAGAGGCTAAGTCCTGGATTCTTCTTGATGTATCTGAGGATTCTGGTGACAGCCTTGTGATGAAGAAGAGAAGGTTCAGTCATGAATTAGAAGACCTGCTGGGATGCAAAACTGATATCAGGTCTCGTCGTGGTAAGATAAATGAGTCGTCCAACGAGGTTGCGGTAAGGAGTGGGATCAACGGGAGTGCTTCCATCAGAACTGCTCAAATGAGCTTTATAATCCATGGGTGTTTGAATAGACTTGACACCTAGAAGAGCTGCTGAATCCAACAATTCCAAAGCATGTTTTCGTTGGGACAAATGAATGCCTTTGGGAGAACGAGCCACTTCAAGGCCAAGAAAGTACTTGAGATCTCTCAAATCTTTAATGTTGAAGGCTTGGTGTAGAATGGTCTTGATCCTGGTGATTTTAGTCAAATCATTACCTCCAGCAATTAAATTATCGACATAAACAAGTATAATAAGTAGTATAAGAGGTGTCAGTGACTCTGGTGAAGAGGGAGTGATCAGCTTGGCTTTGTTGGTACCCTTCTTGAACAAGACATGCAAACAATTTGGAATACCACTAGCGAGAGCCTTGTTTCAGACCATATAGAGACTTGTGGAGCTTGCATACAAGATTCTTGATGTGAGGAGGACTGATAACACCTAGTGGAAGAGGCATATACTTCTTCATGGAGATCTCCATTGATACTTGCATGTATTATCAATGGTCTTAGTAGTGAATGCTGTAGTAGAGTGATTGGGGGAGGATGTGTCAGTCTTATGCATCTGGAGTAAGGCTTCATATCGCTCCTTAGGAAGAGAAACATTATCTGAAGGATTAGGGAGTGAAGGCTCAGAACCCATAATGGCATTAGCTTGCTTGAAACTTGATGAACCATATCCTCTTCCAATTCTGGGTGTCATTCTTGGAGGCCAACCGTGCTTATGGTAACAAGTGTCATCGGTGTGGCCATGCATCTTACAGTAAGTGCAAAATGACCTGGAGTTGTCAAATTGACCTGTGCCTCTACCTCGTCCGCTCATGTTCGAGGCAGGTTTCTAGTCTAGTCCAATTTGGGGTTATCATGAACTCTCATACCCAAGGATTGTAACACAAGAGCTAAAGATTCAACTAGCTTGCCTTGTCATGTGGTGTACCAAGGCTTTGACGTTCATGTTGAGTCATCTTAGAGTAAATCTGATCCACAGAGGGTAGTGGATCGGAGAACAAGACTTGAGACCTAGGAATACTATAATTCTCATTCAGACCACGAATAAAGTGAACAATGAGATTACTCTCCACATACGATTTGACTATTTTGATAGCTGAGCAAGTAGTACCACTGGTTGGTGTGCAAGAACAACAAGGTATATTCTGATAGTTCTTCAATTCTTCCTATATAGTGATTAAATGGGTATGATACTCAGAGAGACTTCACACAATTGTTCTTGTAGTTAAACAATACGAATCAGGTCACCTTAGGCATACCTGAGTTTCAGTGTTTTCCAAACCTCTACTGCCGATTGGATGTTTTGGATGCTTTTACCAATCGTTTCATCCACCGACTGGAGAATCCAGCTTTTGACCATAGTATTGCAGCTCGTCCATGGCCAAGTCACCGCATCTCCTGTTGTAGGCTTTAGGATGCTTTCATCGATGAATCCTAGCTTGTTCTTGGACGAAAGAGCATCGATCATTGTTGCACTCCAGTCGTTGTAATTAGTGGAGGTGAGCTTCCGGGGAACGAGAACTTGCCCTGGTTGTTCCGACCCATGGAGGTAGTAAGGGTCAGACAACGGATAAGCGTCGCCGGGAAGGTTAGATCCTTCTAATTGAGACGCCATTGTTGCAGAAAAGAGGCAGAAAAAAAGGAAGAAAGGGGGCGAAGGAGCCTAGCCAGGCTCTGATACCATAACAACGATTTGGTGTGTGAATGATTAGGGTTTCAACATACCTCTTTCCTCTTCTCATTCGTCAATATATAGTCTCAATACAATCCACAGATCTGGTAAAAGGTTTACAGTAAAATAGAGGAAGATAAACAGTAAAATAAGTCACTCTCTAGACCGTTAGAGAAGTTTGATGATTATTGGTTGTGGATTGATCAATCACGTAGCGACACATTTCTCTTGGATGATTTTGAGCGATGAATGAAACTGTGGTGTTCACCTCTTCTCCTAAACCGGGTTTGAGTTTGCTTGATGTAGACGAAAGATCTGAGGATGGTTCTTTTGTTAAGAGAATTATATGTTGGGTTTAAGCCTTAAAGTTGAACACTTTTTTCTTTGGTAGAAAAATAAGTATAACACACGTTCTTTAATATTTCTTTTTCTCCCTCTCCCTCTCCCTCTCCCTCTCCCTCTCGTACCAACTTGGCAAAACACATAAAGAAACGGGAACGAAAATTCATTAAGCGTTCTAGCCAATTTACCGAAACATCCCCTTCGCAAACTGAACAGGAATACCTCCCGTGTCAAACCAGCATCCCGCTTGCCAAATCTATAAGCGTTCCACCTTCAACCCCAGACCCCAGTGCTCTCTCAACTACTCTGTTTACTGTTTAGTGGTAACCCACTTCCCCACTCTGCTGATCTATGATTCCAATTCCCGTTCGCCGTTCAAACCCCCGTCTAAAGTGTTGATCTTTGCCTCTTTGGGTTGGTATCTCTCACTCCTTGCAGTTTCGTGTTGACTGTCAGTTGGGGTTTCCCGTGATTGCACCTTTTCAAGTTATTATGAACTCAAGATGGCTCAAGAATGGAGAAGAGGGTTAAGTTTGCTGATCTGAGATGGCTCACAGTTTGAGCCCCAGTTCTTCATCTGACCAAGTGCTTGCCTTGTGCAAAAGGGGTTTCTTTTGGTGGAAGGGCATTGTGAAGACCCATCTTGGGTTGAAAACGTTTCAGTCCTTCAATGGAGTTTTAGCAGTTGGCTCGTCCTTGTCTTTCCTTTTAGTCCTTGCTTGCGCCTACTCGCTTCTCTCTCCTAGGGTTCCGCAGCAGGCTGATGTAGCTACTAGCTACGGGCTTCCCATATCCAATTCCTCATCAGTTACTGACTGCAATCTGTTTGAAGGAAGCTGGATCCAGGATCAGGGTTATTACCCTTTGTATAATTCCTCCATCTGCCCTTTTGCCGAGCGAGGGTTTGATTGCTTGGCTAATGGGAGGAGAGATCAGGGTTATTTGAAATGGAGGTGGAAGCCCAAGGATTGTACCATCCCGATCTTCAATGCTCGCCAAGTGCTCGAGAAAATGCGTGGCAAGCGAATTGTTTTTGTGGGCGATTCCCTAAGTAGAACACAGTGGGAGTCTTTGGTCTGTATGCTCATGACTGGTGTGGATGATAAGAGGAATGTTTATGAAGTCAATGGGAACACGATTACTAAGAGGATTAGGTTTCTGGGCATAAGGTTCAGCTCATACAATCTAAGAGTTGATTTCTATCGGTCGGTTTTCTTGGTCCAGACTGGTTCCATGCCCAAAAGGGCACCAAAGAGGGTTAAGTCGACTCTGAAGCTTGACAAGATGGATGATATCAGCAATGAGTGGATTGATTCAGATGTTCTGATCTTTAACTCAGGCCACTGGTGGACTCCTAGTAAGCTTTTCGAAATGTGAGTTTCCCTTTCTCCTCTGGCCATTATCTGGTTTCTGTGTTGAATGAATTCAGTTGAATATAATACAGTTGTGATTGGTGATAATTGGCTGAAGAACCCGAAATGTAGTTACTTTTACTTTGCCAAGATTGATGAATCCTATGCTGGCCATATGCATCTACAGTTTTATGAACTGCTTGTTAACTGGTGCTTTCCCACCTTCCATGAACTGAAGTGCTTTATTTGCTGAATCTTAGATGTTGTAGCATTTCTTTACACAAGCTCTTACATTTTGGTATCGTGAGCCATAAGTTATCAGGCATCTTTTTCACAGTTCGAGAGGACAATGACCTCTTTTATTGGCTAAAAAACCTCTAAGGCTAGCTACTTTTACTTTGCTAAGATTGGTGAACCCTATGCTGGCCATATGCATCTACAGTTTTATGAACTGCTTGTTAAGTGATGCTTTCCCTCCTTCCATGAACGGAAGTGCTTTATTTGTTGAATCTAGATGCTGTAGCATCAGATTACACAAGCGCTTACATTTTGGTATTCTGAGCCATAAGTTAACAGTCATTCACTTTTACAGTTGGAGAGTACAATGACTTCATTTATTTCTTCTAAATGTATTAGTACATTGTTGGAATGAAATGCTGATCAGCAGTTGCTCGCTATCGTCTTTTTCCTTTTAAGCTTTGACCAGTGACATCAACTGTTCACATTCTTGATTTCTGCAATTTGTGCAAACAGCATGTCCCTAACACGTATTTTTCAGACAGGGGTTGTTATTTTCAAATAGGTGGATCTCTGAAGCTTGGGATGCCTATAAATACAGGATTCAAAATGGCATTGGAGACTTGGGCATCCTGGGCTGCAAGTAATCTCAACACCAAAAGAACAACTGTATTCTTCCGGACTTTCGAATCTTCACATTGGAGGTCTGTTTGTTACCCATTATTAATACTGTCGCTGTAATGTATTCCAGTTCTTGAAATTGACAAACAGCACTCTTTCTTTATATCAGTGGCAAGAACTTTGCTTACTGCAAGGTAACTCAGAACCCTTTGATTACAACAAGAGGGAAGGAGAGGAATGCATTGTCTGACATCATATTGAAGGCCGTGAAGAAAGTGGCACCGGTTCCTGTAACCGTACTGCACGTGACGCCAATGTGTGCATCTCGTAGCGATGCTCATGTGGGTACTTGGAGCGATAACCCTTCTGTACCCGATTGCAGCCACTGGTGCCTGCCTGGAGTGCCTGATACCTGGAATGAGATTCTCTTGTCCTACATTTTGAACAATGACCACTGATGGTATCTTCTTGATTAACAGGAACAATGAGTTCCTTAAACCCTAAATCTGATGTTGGAATCAACTTGATACCTATTCACTTTTGTTCGTATAGCTCCCTTGTTTGTACCATGAAACCGCTTCTGATGTAAAGTAATATGCCCCATCAAGATTTGGCATGTGGAGGAATTTTTTTTTTTTTTTGGTTGTATCCTTTTGTCTTCTCTTAGGTTTGGTTGATGAAGACCAATTTTAAATGTGGGGTGGATTTGAATTCAAGGTTACTACTTCTAGTTATTTATTTATTTATTTATTTATTTATTTATTTATGTCTATATTTGCTTGAAGTACATGAAGGCTGATGCTGTGTGACAGTGAACAGGGTATTGTTTGTTATGGTTGAAACTAAACCAATGACTATCTTTCAGTGATCGAATTGACATTGGCAACATTAACTCTCTGCTGATTAGGGGTGGGTAAAACCGAATCTAATCGAACCGAACCGAATTCAAACCGAACCGAAACCGAATAACATTACTTCGGTTCGGAATTCGGAAGAGAAAAGGGTATATTCGGAAACCAAGGTCCTTTCGACCGAATCGAATTTCCGAATCCCGAATTGATTTTCCGAATTACTATAATTGCAAGTTCCTAATGGTGAATTTTTATGTTTGTACTTATTATGAGACTTAAATATTTGAATTATGTTAATGTTTTATGAGTTATGTGTTGAAATGTTTGATTTTATCATTGATGATGCATTTAATTGTATATTTATTGTTTACATTAGGGTGAAAAATAATTTGAAAGAGAAAAATACAAGCTAACCTCACAATTTTTGATTTTACCCTTTTCCTTTTGGAAACGTGAATGAACCTGCAAACAATTGTGAAATGGTATTCTGCTGAGATTTAGTACGCATTCAGAGATCTCATACCTGGTTCTGCAGAATGAAAAACAAAAAACAAAATAGGAGTGATTAACGACGAATCCATTATGCATCAACGCGTTCGAATCATTCCATAGAATCAAAAACAAAATATGATGGGATAAGAGAACAACAACGAATCCACTTGATGATGAACTTGGAGCCTTAATCATCGACTTGGGTTAGCATTAGCACTGATGATTCTATTTTTCAATTTCAGTGGAATTAATTTAAGAAGAGGTTGCTTCGTTAAGGTCTCGTCTTCAAATGATTTGGGAGGGCGGTGCACAATCACTCCAATGAACTCGTGAAGATTATAGTCTCCGTCATGAGAGATGAGTTATGCTTTAGGAAGGTTCATTTACAGACAAATTTCTCTTCTGCATTCCATTTGTTAACTTCTCATCTCATTACCTAAAAGTAAAAGGAGTATCGCCCAATTCTTTATCCACATAGCTAATTATATTATTTAGATATTTCACTTTTTTTGTTGTAAAAAATGCAAATATTTCACGTTATTGATAGTTGCTGAGCTTAGGCCCCGTTTAGTATTGTTGCTTGTTTTTGTTTCCTGTTGTGTTTTACGAAATTTGGAAAACCAAGAAAAAAAATCGTGTTTAGTTGGGTTTTTATTTTTTGTTGTGAATCAGAGTTGCACAACAAGGCCCAAATATGAGAAACAACAATTTATAGCTTTGGATCTGATTCTTAAACATGTTGCACACGGGATTCCTACTGGTTGTGCGCTTGATTTCATTAAAAGAGACCAGTTTTCGAATCCCCACAGAAGCAAATTTTTTTTTTTTTTTACATATCCGCCCCCTCCCAAAACCCTACTTCAGCCGCCCTTTTACCATTTTCCATCTTCTTTGTCGAGACTCATCAGCCGCCCAAGCTTCTTCTTCTCCGCAAGAACGTCCGACTCCGGCCAGCGGCGCCTCCGCCTCCGGCCCGCGCAGCCAGCCGCTCGCCTCCGCCCAGCCCAGCCGCGCGCCTCCTCCCAGCTCAGCGCCGCCAGCCGCGCGCCTCCGCCGGCCACCGATCATCTCCCCGCACCAGGTAAAACAAACCATTTATTAAATGTATTATGTTAATATTGTTGCTTCTTAATATGTTCTTGAATTATGGTATGTATGTAGTGATTGCTAGACTAGTTATTTGTGAATTTGGATTGATTGCTATGTTCTTTGTGAATTTCGATTGATTGCTATGTTCTTTGTTTTGTGGTTTATTAAATGTATTATGTTAATTTCGATTGCGGACATATTTCTTTTTCTGGTTTTTAGTTCTTATAGTAGTAACTAAACGCGTTTTTGTTTCTTGTTGTCAGCTTTCATGATTTTTCAGATTTATCAACTAAACAGGTTTGTGTTTTCTGTTTTTTTCCTGTTGTAGTTGTACATCTGCTTACAAAACACCACTGCAACCACAACAGCAACAAAATGATACTAAACGGGGCCTTAGGATAGGATCATTAACACCTGGTATGCACTTGTGCATAACCAAATATGGCCTCTTAATTTTAAATGGAAATAGATATAGGATGTGAGATTTTTTTTTTCCTACTTTTTTCAATTAAGTTTGATCTTCTTATTTAAATTTGGATTTCAAGATTCTGTGCACATATAGAATGCCTTCGTTATGATCTACAAAACGATAATAGTTTTCAATATATTTCGAGAAAATAAATTTCCGTACCACACATACCACTTGTTACCACTCTTGTACCACTACGTACAAACTCCCTTTTTCGCTCAAATGTTGAATTTTTTGCCCAGAAGAAACGAGTTCATCGTGACCTGTTGGATCTACAAATTTATGGGAAAATAATTTCAGGATCAAATATAGCACTGTTGGGTAAGCATAAGTGAACCATTGGGGGACATGGGCCCATGGGGCTTGGTTAGGCCCAAGCCCATTGGAGAGCATGAGGAGTTAGGTATAAACCAAGAGTTGGGCCCATATAAGGAGGGGCGGGCGCATAACGACAAAAGTGGATACATGGATCGTGCAACTTTGGGACTAGGAGGCTGAGAGGGTGCCACCTGGTAGCGTGGTCCCTGCCAAGCGCCTAGGCATAGGGGTCCAGGAGCTGCCACGTGTAGGCGTCTGACCATTGGGCCGTACCAAGCATTTAATGACGCGCTGACGTGGAGCTGAATTCTAGGAGCCTGGTTGGGACCTCGACGAGTATAAATACTAAATAGTACTCGGTAGGTACCATTTACGCAAGTTGGCTTCTCTCACTAAAATCTCTGTAAGTACATATCTCTCTAAAAGCTGCATTGACTTGAGCGTTGGAGTGCTAACAGGCATCCCGAAGCCCACTAGGCGCTTGTTTGTGCAGGGTCTGCCCCCCCCCCCCCCCCCAAGTGTGGGTGTTTCCCACCATGGTATATAGGGTTGTAACTGGTGGTAGACAGTGCTGAGAAATGGTAAATTAGTATCTCATATTATCATGTATACAACCATTTTTCATTATAGTATATTCATACGAGGAATTTTACAATGCCATATAACATTGGTGCTATAGGTTTTTGCTTTTATGGTATAACTAGAAATTGTACCTTTAACGTTATGGTACAACTTCAGATTGTACCTATACTTTTTGTACAAATTCTTTTATGGTACAATTTGAACTTGTACCTTTATGTGATGGTACAACTTCAAGTCGTAAAGTTGTACCATAACATAATGGTACAAACTCCTTTATGGTACAACATAAACTTATACATTTATTGTTATGGTACAACTTTAGGTTGTACATTAAAGCACCAGTGCTATATAGCATGGTAGAAGTGCTCATATTCATACCACTATAGTACATTTTCATATCACTATGGTATAATCTTATGTATTACCAAGCATTATCATGCACCATGCTATGGACTAATAATAAATGTCTCAATTATGACTTAAAATGAAAGAGATATAATCCGTTAAATTAAATTATGGTAAACGTTATTTGTCTTCCATAAATGGTAATTGAGGGTTATACATGATTTTTTTCCGAGTCATAACAAATTAAATAGCAAAGCTAGCAATTCTACAAACAAAATGATACACCCACAACCCAAGAACACTCCCAAAGAACCACACTAGTGGGGACACCTATAAAAATAAGATAAAGAAAGCTAACTCTAAAGGAGACATCAACATGGTTTTATGCCACTCTATAGACAACCCAGTGTGCAAAATCGAAAACTAATACAACCAGATAGAAAAGAGAGAATAAGGATATTAATATCGTAAAATAGCCCCGCCTCACCAATCATTAACCATGTCTTAACGAAGATGATGAATGACGTTCACCACAAAATCATCTTCCACGCCGCTCTAGACAACATTCAGAAAATGATTGGTTATACATAGTTATGCATGAAAGAGATTGAAGGATTTGATATTGTGGGAAAGATTGAGTTGTATCTCATTGACGATTCTGTTCACTAATATACCATTTTTTGGGAGAGGAAATAGGTGCACGCAGGCACTTCCCACAAATGTTGCAACCGTAAATGGTAGTGGGAAAAATAATAAAAGAATAATGGTAAATACAAAAATCATTTAGCTCTAATACGCCCCTGCAAGATGAAGGAGGTATGACACGCTAAAACACAACACCTAACAATGGCCAAGTGTAACCAAAGAAAGGGACTGCATTATAGTGACACAAGTAATAAATATCGAATCCACGGGTCTCTAGAGTTACTATTACCCAGCTTCAGTTCATTATCTAGCAAACTAGATTAAGGATTGATTGATAAACTACTCTACTGACTACTCTACTAATTACAAGTTGGGAACTCACTTAGGTATGATTCCCCCTAGCTCCTCAATTAGGTCCAAGTTGCAATTACCTTTGGTTGATCTACTGTTGATTAAACTGCGGAAGATCCTAAATTAGCTTGGAATCTCTTAAGCTGACCAAGCCCTCTCAGTCCAACTACCCGGCAGACGACTAGTCTTCACCAGGATAGAAAGCTGAGGCTATGAACACAGAACTCCACTACTGGAATGAATTCCAGTACAAAGCAATGAATTGATTGACTCTCGCACAACCAATTCACCACTATCAATCAAGGAAGCTCTCTTAACCTAATCAGATTCTATCTATCATAGGTTAAAGCAGAAATCAAGAGAATTTGATCAAGATTAAATTGACTCAATAAATCATGCCTCAATCGATTATAATCAAACAATATAGCATCCAAAACTTCATACAAGAAAGATCCTAACACATGGAACTAGGGTTCCTAAAAACCTAAGTGAACGGAAGTTACTCCATAGAGAAGAGAGAGACTCCAGAAATCTGATCTAGATCTTCAATCTCCATCTCCAAGCTTGATTCCCGAGCTCCAATGGCGAAGAAATCCTCCAAAATAGCTCCAAGAATGTTTCCAAGTCGCTCTCTCTCTCTAGGGTTCGTCCCTTGGGTGTTTGGGATCCAAAACCCAGCTCTCCCCCTTTCCTTTTGCTGAAAATCGGGTTTTAACCAGAAATTCTCGACTCACACGGCCAGGCCACACGGCCGTGTGGCTTTCCCAGCTGCCCGTATGAAGGCTCGGTGATTTCCACACGGCCACATGGCCAGGTCACACGGCCGTGTGGGTTGTGCCCGTGTGGCTTGCTCAGCCTCTGTTTAATGCTTTGTTTCTCCCTCGTCCGGACTCCGAATCAGTCGCCGTTTGATCCCAGAAGTTTGTAGTCTCGTCCTCTTTCTTTTCATGCCAAGCTTGCATGATTATTTGTCCATAAAGTGAGGTAGAAATCCATTCTTCTTCAGGTCATATCCGAGTTTCTTCTCTCGAATCGTCAATTGATCTCTGATTGACTTGAAACTTGCGCCTATGCTTCACTTTATGTGCTAGGACCTGAATGTGACAAAGGAACACAACCTAGCATAAAATAGGCCAAAGACACGATAATTCAAGCTCAAACAATCAAGAAACAAAGGGGAAAATATGTGCAAATACCGAGTCATCAAATCCCCACACACTTAACTGTTTGCTTGCCCCCAAGCAAACCTAACTCAAACCAATGCAGCTCTCCAGAGCTCTATAGCAACATACAACCCTGATCGTCGGTAGAGGATTTCCTAGATCATATAGCAGCTTACGAGGTCAACTGGTCTTCTAAGATGTCCCCTATCTCTCTCAATAAGAGTACTAGACTCAAGCCAGGATCATGAGAAGAAGTAGAAGTAAGACAGTCAGTTCATGGACAAAGGGACTCACAACAATCACAACCAAGGACTCGTTGTACCGGGGTGCTCTTTCACTTCATTTTACCGTTGGAACCCCTTTTTGCACTTTCATTCACATTTTCCTTGTTTTTTTTCTTTCACTTAGCAGGGGTTCCAACTGCAGTCTTTTGCACGGTCGACCCTTATTAGTCGAGCAAGAGCAATTTCTGTACATCTGGCGCTCGCCAGAGTACTTCTTTTAACTCCTTTCCCTCAACTCGTGTGGAGGGTCAATAAAATTAAGGGGGGTCGGAAGCTCTATCCGTGCCCTTAAAAACACATCCTCGAGTAGGCAAACCGTTCAACGGGTGAAAATTTTACTTGTACTAGAGACAGCTTAGCTACACCTTGTAGGAGTACCCCACTAAGGATCACTAAAATCTCTTCCAAAACCTGACTTTGTGCAATGAACGGTGCCACACACGTTGGGCTTACCCCTTGTTTAAGATTTCAATGATTTCGACATGGAGGACCAACTTCTTTTCATTTCTCACATGAGCACCCTTTTCAATACACGAGTCCATAACACAATTCAAACCGAGTCCACATTACCACATGAATTCAACGGTCTTAGCTCCACTAATTCACAAAATCAACTGACACAGCAGAGAGCTAGATAGGAAAAATCTTATACTTCAACATCCTCCATAGTGCTACACTACCTCCCTAGGTTGCACATTACTATAGAGACTGTCGATTCAAAGCATACTGAGCAGGCAATTTGCAAGGAAACACGTACATGGAGCCCTCAAATTTAAAAATTTGGACAGTGGACTAGGCTCCAAGCACACAAATAGCCAAACATTCACCCGCATACATAATCGAATATCCCCCCACACTTAAGCACGACATTGTCCTCAATGGAGGAAAGATAAGGAGGGTAGAACGAAGTTACCAGATCAAGGGTGAATGATGATGGACGGGTCAGGCGGTGCATTCCTGGAAGAGAGAGTAACCAGAACACAAACACCACACAAAATCTCACAAAGGTTGAGTTATTGACTCTAAAATCAAATAACAAAACTGACTCAACCGAGGAGAAATAGAGAAAGAAATGCAAACCGACTGGTTGGGTTGCCTCCCAACAAGCGCTTCTTTCACGTCGTGAGCCGGACGATGGCTCCTAAGTTTCGGTCCATGCTAGAACCTCCTTGAAGTTGAGGTTCTCGTCAATGAGGTGGAGTCGCAAGTCACGAGCATGTGGTATGACTAGTGATGGAAGCTCGTTCACTTGATGCAGATGAAGTCTCCACCCTCGAGACCTCTTCTTCTCTTCTCTCGTCTCATTGCCCCAAACCAGATAAGACAACATCGATTGGCCACCATCGCGTCCACCAAGAGGGACCGATGTTGATGTGGCCTTGGTCTGGCAAAGAGACACTGCAAATGGGTCCTTGCCAAGCAGCTCCTCGAAGTTTGGTGGAGATATCACATGTAACTCATGGCCGGTGCAGCCTCTTCCACCTTAACTCCGTCCTCAGCCTGGACGCCAATTTCTTCTTCAACCTCCCTTTCTTCTTCATGTGGTATCACCCCTGGGAAATGATCAAGAACTCCTCCTGCTTCACTTTCGTCATCCTCCACAACTTCTTTCCGCACCCTTTCTTGCTCTTCTTCTTCTAGCACAGATTGGAGAGCAAGTCGCCATGTAATTTCTTCAATGAGATCATCTTGCATCTCCTGGCTCAGGCCCAGCATGTTAGAGCAGAAATAAGGAAATGTGTGATCTGCAACCAGAGGACTTTCCTGATCATGATTATCATGGGAGTTCTCTGTGATAACTTCTGTATGCTCCTCAACATCCCCGTAGCCTTTGTCATCCTCCACCTCTTCTAATGTGGTAGCAGAAAGGTGATCTTGAGCAAGATGTGAGCAAACTTGCTCCACCCACTCTGTTTGCTTCGTTGAGCGCTGAACAGCCTCCTCCATTTCATGGAGAAATGAGGGATCGGAAGGGGCAAGGGCTTTGATTTGAAGATCCATCTTGGAGCATGATCTCTCAGTGTCTCGAGCAAACTGCTCCACGAGAAGCCTTAATTGTTTGTTCGGATCTTCCAGTGAAGTGTAGCATGGCTCTGCAGAGTGTACCGTGAAGGCCTCCATGGCTAACTCCAACTCTGATGGCCCTTCTGGTTGTGGGAGAAAGTCTTCTTGGTAATGAGGTTGTTCTTGATATGCCCAGGGGTCTGATGGTTCTCCGTAGTAAGGGGGTTGGTACTGGAACCCGAATCCATAGTCTTCTCCTCCTTGATTGTTGTAGGGAGTCTCGGGGTAATACCACTCGGATGGTGGTGGATACCCCCAATGGTTGGAGAAGCCATGAGGATCCATGATTCAGATCTGCACCAACAAAAACAAAAAAAACACCCAAGTGAAAAGCAAGGGTGGAAAAGAAAATAAAAACGCTAAAGTAACAAACTTCTGCCTTTCCTAATAATCTAGAAAGCCCCCGGCAATGGCGCCAAAAACTTGACACGCTAAATCACAACACTTAACAATGGCCAAGTGTAACCA